TTTTTTGCAGCCTCCTGCCTCTTGACTCTCTATTTGGCATTTATTCACCCAGAGAAAATGAAAAATACCTTTTAAGTATTGGCGAAATTTGATAAAGTTTGCATATTAAAGCAATGTACATATTTGATAGTTGCATCTGTGACTGAGATTCTTATGGTAATTGAATATGAATTTTTATTTTATTTAATTTTTTTGAGAACCCGCTGCATTCATATGTACGATACCATAATTCACCTCAACTGAGGTGCACAATGTGAATAATACATATGTGAATCCTAACTCGTGGTACCCGCACAAAGGGCTGAAGGGGAAGGGACATGTATTTTGTGTATAGAAGGCTTTATGGAGAACTTTTACTTATTTTCCTATTACATTTTAACTGAATTTTAATTTTTTTTTTTTTATATATATATATATACACACATCTATATATAATAAATGTTTCACCACCCTTTCCCTCCTACAGTCACTGGTGAAATTGTCTCAAAGGCCTCTCATTTCATGATTCGGGTTTCTGTTTGATGCTCGGCATCCTCTCCAGCTGTGTATTTTCTACAAAGTCCAATTAGTAAATAAAAACGCTTTACTGTCGCATGCACTTTACATTCGTTTTCAGGTTAAGAGGCATGATTCTGTCAGAGCTTTTAATTATATTTGTAAATAAAGTGCTCATCACAAAAAAACAAGTGTCTTTCCATAGTCTGATTTTCTTTTCCAGGAATTTTATTCCAATGTGTTAATTTCCAGTATATAGCAGTGACAATTTTGTGAAATTAAAGGTGCAGCCATAAATACAACACAAATTTGCCTTGAATTTTATTCAAAGGTGCAAAGTTGTTGTTTTTTTTAAACTGAAGGCAGTCTGAATGCTTCCAAGCGAAGTGACATAAAGGCATAGACTGAAATTGCTCGATCAGTTCTCTTTCAATTCAACTAGAACAAAAGAAATGCATCATTCCTACAAGGCTTTTAAAGCAAAGAACATTTTAGTTTATGAGTTTCATTTTTTAAATAGCTGAAGTGAAAACGTACCGAGTCGAGCTCTGTTCAGCAACGACAGAAATTCGCAATTATTTCCTTATTTGCCAGCAAGCTGTTCGTAAAGTTTGGGCACATAGTCGTCCCACTCTGCCTGGAAGCAAGACCCTGCGATTGGAGCACCGAGGCCGTATTTCTTGCGGAAACCCTGGATCTTGAATTTTCCACGATTATCTCCAGAACGATTGGTGAGCACTCGTTCGGTGCAGCTGATGCCGTCTGGTTGCTCATAAACCAGCCACACGTAACGATGGAGACCTGAAGAGAATCGTACACAAGTGTCATTCACCACTCATACACCAACTTCCTGATGAGATGCAACATATTTTGCCACATTGAAGGACTATTTTACACAAAAATTAAAATTCTGTAATCATTTACTCAGTCATGTCGTTCCAAACCTGTATAATTCTTCTGCAGAACACAAACGATGTTTTAAAGCATGCTGGCAACCAAACCGTTTCAGTTCCTATTGACTTCCATTCTGTTTTTGTTTTTACAATGGAAGGTTGGTTACAAAAAAATCTTCAAAATATCTTTTGTCTTACACAGCACAAAGTCATACAGGTTTGTTTTTTGGTGGACTAGCCCTTTAATTGCGTAATTTTATGCCAGTCAGTCTAAACTCTCACCTGTTCCCTTGGGGGGTCCTGCACCAACATAGTCCGACATGACACATCCACTGGAGATGTCATTTCCTTTCATGTTGACGACAATGAAGTGGTGCCATTCCCTAAGATAAAACAGATGAAGTAACTTGCCTTCTAACCAGTTCAAACATGTTCACACTCACTAGAGAATCCCTTTGTTTACTATTGCAGTTTGTGTTCATCTTTCTTTCAGTTCTGATATGATGAATATGGCTGAATGATCTAAAACGATACCGAAATTTGGGGTCTTTTCGGCTGGGTGCATCTGGATCGGTCATGGCCAATGTGTACAGCTTACCGGGGTCACATCCCTCCCACTCAATGGATGTGGGCCGATTTTGCACCTACAAAATGAAACAACTTAAGATATAAAGTGTGAATTCATTTATATATTTTTTGTATTAGTATAACTTTTTGAACATTTATAACTGTGTACAAGGCAAACCTTTTGTTCCCCACTATTTTTAATAACCTTTTCGATTTTACATGCACTTAAACTGTCTGTCATTATGATTTTTAAATATCATTATTATTATTATTTTTAAACGTGGTATTTTAATTAATATGGGGTAAAAACTGCATGCATAATAGTTAAAAAAATGCTGTTTAAAACACTTTTGGTAATTGATGTCCTATTTGACACTGATGTCACTTCTTAACATGCCAAAACGAATTTATTTGTATATGTATTTCGGGGTCACATCCCTCCCACTCAATGGATGTGGGCCGATTTTGCACCTACAAAATGAAACAACTTAAGATATAAAGTGTGAATTCATTTATATATTTTTTGTATTAGTATAACTTTTTGAACATTTATAACTGTGTACAAGGCAAACCTTTTGTTCCCCACTATTTTTAATAACCTTTTCGATTTTACATGCACTTAAACTGTCTGTCATTATGATTTTTAAATATCATTATTATTATTATTATTTTTAAACGTGGTATTTTAATTAATATGGGGTAAAAACTGCATGCATAATAGTAAAAAAAATGCTGTTTAAAACACTTTTGGTAATTTATGTCCTATTTGACACTGATGTCACTTCTTAACATGCCAAAACAAATTTATTTGTATATGTATTTATAATATAATTTATAATATAAATTAAAATGCAATACAATTCAAATATAATAATAATTATTATTATTACTAGCACAACAGCTAACAGTTGCTTTAGACAATAGCATTTATTCTTATAAGTACTATATCCCTACTTAGGTTATGAGCAAAACTGTTCTAGCAAACAATTTTGGAATTGTATCTATATTTATAATACATAATGGCTTGTAATTTTATTCATTTATCAGTTGAGAACACTTGTATTCATTTGGCCTAATTTCCGTACTGCTATGCAGGTCTCTATTCTAATTAAGGCGGTGGCCCAATAATTTGTAGCTCACAATTTTTGCACGAGGTAATGCAGTGTCCACATCACGTGATCGTGGAATTTCTAGAGAGATGCGAGTTTGGCTGAGTGCGAACCTTGTGTCCATTACATAAACAGACAAAATGCATTCATTTTTAACCCTCTTTAGTAAATGCAAAGAAAACGTTAATTTCCACTAATTCTGGCAAACGTAATTAAAAAGGGTTATGCAAACGCATATCAATCAGCAAGTCAGACGTGATGCAGAACCGTTGTTAGCTAACGTTACAGGCACTGGCCTAAATTCCTGCATGCGCGTGCACTGGACTCTGACCTGAGTAGGAGTGAACACTTTCCCCAGCGAGTCAATTTCCAAAGAGCCATATTTGACCGTTAGAGGCTTGGCTGGCTGTTCCTCCACCTCTGTAAGCGCTAGAGAACCTGTCCATTCATTAATATCCACAGGCATGGTGACTCAGTGATCTTGCGAGATATCAACGCAGCAGAAAAGTAGAGCTTCTGTCTCCCCCTACAGTTGTTTTATTGTGATTGTTCCTTGAACTGTGTGGTCACCGGCATAGCCAATCAAATTGCCGCAGCTGACCAAGTTGTTAATTTCGATTGGTCTGACGGTCTGTCGGTATTCTTTGGCCCGCCTCCTATTCTGAAAGTTCGACTCATTTCCACGAATCGGTTCTTTCGAACACTTTAATGAACTTTGTTTTGTAACACTAGTTACTACGCATAAAACAACAACCAAGGGGAACAAAGGGAAAAGCGCAAACGTAAAAATATACAAGAAGACAAATTACTTAAATAAACAAATTATTTAAATAAATTATTTGGAAATTCTTTGGAGCTCACGAATATTTAATAAGCCTTCGCGTTATAAAAGGTCATCTAAATATAATTAGCATTTTAAAATTGCATTTAGAAGTAAATATTCATTTACATCATTCTATTGATGATGATATTATTATTATTATTATTATTATTATTATTCATGTTTAAAAAACGTTCGAATGCGTTTTGATCAAACTGATTCAGTACGATTCGTAAACATTTGATTCGTTGAAAAGTTCCGACTCAAATGAATCAGACGACACTGGACGTACAGTAAGCTGGACGGGATCAAGTTCAACGCTTTTCTAAAGAACTCCTCGTTTTTTAAACTCGTATTTGTAGTCTAAAACCCATTAAACCAGTTGTTAAACTTAGACTCGAGCTTACCAGACACAATTTCATAACGTAAAATTAAAATAAAATAAATAATAATAATAACAATGGTAAAAATTCACCCAGGCATCTTTTAAGGCACCTATAACGACAGGGGTCTTGCCTGCTGACAGTATGGCTGCCTTCAGCAGGGGAAGGCAGGGGATAAAATCTCTCTGCTGGTTTAGGACTTTAATATCTACAAGAAACTTTTCAGGTAATGCCTATTTAATAATAAAACATATTGTCGTAAAAATATTTTGACCACATCTTTTGCTTAATATGTCAATATCCGCAATTTACCTTCAGCAAATTCACTGTTCAGTTTGCTTGTACCGTATTATAGTTTTTTTTTTTAAATTAATATCACAACGCAAACTATTAAAGTCTCTGTCGTTAAATGACCTTGAAATTTCATTCTGATTCCAGCAGGTAAATTTGATTATGACCTCGTGGTCATTGGTGGAGGCTCTGGAGGGTTGGCATGTTCAAAAGAAGGTAGGTGTCATCCACTGTTGGGTAGTAACGGATTACATGTAATCTGGATTACATAATCAGATTCCAAAAATAAATTACATTTTAAAATACTCGTAATCAGACTACAGTTACTTTTTTATTTATTACATATTATTCACACAATATCAATAAATTATTCATAATTTATTGATTCTCCCTAATTCCTCTTTTTCATCTTTTAAATGTTACTTTCTAAAATAGAGTACCACTTATATACATTCAGAAAGTCTTCCAGTTTTGTAGACATTCACACAGAGATCAATCACTGGTCAGGTGGCTGTAATTACACAGACAATTGAGAGGCCACACAGCATTTGATTTACAAAAATCATTTTAATTTTAATTAGTGTTTTCTCAGCATTTCAACATTGCATCAACTACTGATGAACATTATTTTTTATTTGAATTATCACTCAGTAGGTTATTTAACCATGTTTTACTGTGTCTTTGGAAGGCTTTTGTCTTTCAAACACATTCAAATGCGCAAATTCACATTATTTATTATTTACATGTAATGCAGGGATACCCAAACTTTTTTTTTTGTCAGCCGGATCTATTTTTAATATATTTATTTGAAGTCCCCCCTGAGATTTGAAGGTAATAAGTTAATAATTAAGTAACACATTTGCATGTTCACAGTTCTGTGATGGTTAATGGTCACATGACATGCAGGTGAACAATTTTTTTTAATTTTTTTAGTAAGTGTTTTATTTTGATTGTTGTTATTTTATAATGATTTATTCAATTTTTTTTTCATTTTTATGATTTAATAATTAGCTTTACATTAAACTCGTGAACCCCCTGCAGTTCCTTCACGAGCCCCAGTTTGGGAAACCTTTGGAAAAGAAATGTAATATTTTTTTTTTCTTTGCATTTTTATATAAATATGGTACAAGATTATCCTATTTAAATCAATGTGATAAACTAGTTAGGCCAAAAGTAATCAAAAAGTAATCCTACTACATGCCCTTCTGGAATACATTGGTTCTGAATGTCATATTCAACGGTACAATGCTGATAAAGTGATTTTTGAACTTTCAATGCATCTCCTTAATTGATCTAAGCTAAGATGTCATTTAGTGTTTTTGATGCTTGACAATTTATTTTGCTTACAGCTGCCCAATTAGGGCAGAGAGTTGCTGTCTTGGACTATGTCGAACCTTCACTAAAAGGTACATACCCACCCATTTATAGTTGTCATCATCTATCTTTTTGTTGGAAATGTGTTTATTTCGAAAACAACTAATCAGCTCTTGCTGCCTTTAGGCACGAAGTGGGGTCTTGGTGGCACGTGTGTGAATGTCGGCTGTATTCCAAAGAAGCTTATGCATCAGGCGGCACTGCTTGGCACTGCTGTCAAAGATGCTAGGAAGTATGGCTGGCAAATCCCAGAATCCCTGTCACATGACTGGTGAGTTTCATGAATCTATATCAGAAACGCGTGGCATTGCTTATAGACAGAGCAGCTTTATTGCGGTAATTATTAGTGTAGCTTCATCCTGATCAGAGCATGTAATAATATTCATTTAATATTGAGTGGTGAGGTAGGTTTTGTTTCAAATACTACTTTCACAAGCGCTTTATGAGGCACAGCACCACCTTGTGGTAAAAAAAAAAACAGATGTCCGACTGCTCAAATGCAAAAGAACAACAGTCTTTGCACTAGAGGGCACTCCAGGTCTGATTAAGAGGTTAGGGGTTTACAGGTTTTTTTTTTTTTTTTTTTTACAGAAATACTCCTGAACGAGATGTACAAGTCTGCAGGATAAAATTATTTATGAAAAGCTCTGAATATTTCATTATTGAAAACTGTGAACTGTGAAATCTTATTTATGTTTTATATGCTATGCATTTCATTATTTGGTACATTTTTTTTTACCTTCAGCAAATTCACTGTTCAGTTTGCTTGTACCGTATTATAGTTTTTTTTTTTAAATTAATATCACAACGCAAACTATTAAAGTCTCTGTCGTTAAATGACCTTGAAATTTCATTCTGATTCCAGCAGGTAAATTTGATTATGACCTCGTGGTCATTGGTGGAGGCTCTGGAGGGTTGGCATGTTCAAAAGAAGGTAGGTGTCATCCACTGTTGGGTAGTAACGGATTACATGTAATCTGGATTACATAATCAGATTCCAAAAATAAATTACATTTTAAAATACTCGTAATCAGACTACAGTTACTTTTTTATTTATTACATATTATTCACACAATATCAATAAATTATTCATAATTTATTGATTCTCCCTAATTCCTCTTTTTCATCTTTTAAATGTTACTTTCTAAAATAGAGTACCACTTATATACATTCAGAAAGTCTTCCAGTTTTGTAGACATTCACACAGAGATCAATCACTGGTCAGGTGGCTGTAATTACACAGACAATTGAGAGGCCACACAGCATTTGATTTACAAAAATCATTTTAATTTTAATTAGTGTTTTCTCAGCATTTCAACATTGCATCAACTACTGATGAACATTATTTTTTATTTGAATTATCACTCAGTAGGTTATTTAACCATGTTTTACTGTGTCTTTGGAAGGCTTTTGTCTTTCAAACACATTCAAATGCGCAAATTCACATTATTTATTATTTACATGTAATGCAGGGATACCCAAACTTTTTTTTTTGTCAGCCGGATCTATTTTTAATATATTTATTTGAAGTCCCCCCTGAGATTTGAAGGTAATAAGTTAATAATTAAGTAACACATTTGCATGTTCACAGTTCTGTGATGGTTAATGGTCACATGACATGCAGGTGAACAATTTTTTTTTATTTTTTTAGTAAGTGTTTTATTTTGATTGTTGTTATTTTATAATGATTTATTAAATTTTTTTTTCATTTTTATGATTTAATAATTAGCTTTACATTAAACTCGTGAACCCCCTGCAGTTCCTTCACGAGCCCCAGTTTGGGAAACCTTTGGAAAAGAAATGTAATATTTTTTTTTTCTTTGCATTTTTATATAAATATGGTACAAGATTATCCTATTTAAATCAATGTGATAAACTAGTTAGGCCAAAAGTAATCAAAAAGTAATCCTACTACAGGCCCTTCTGGAATACATTGGTTCTGAATGTCATATTCCAATGGTACAATGCTGATAAAAGTGATTTTTGAACTTTCAATGCATCTCCTTAATTGATCTAAGCTAAGATGTAATTTAGTGTTTTTGATGCTTGACAATTTATTTTGCTTACAGCTGCCCAATTAGGGCAGAGAGTTGCTGTCTTGGACTATGTCGAACCTTCACTAAAAGGTACATACCCACCCATTTATAGTTGTCATCATCTATCTTTTTGTTGGAAATGTGTTTATTTCGAAAACAACTAATCAGCTCTTGCTGCCTTTAGGCACGAAGTGGGGTCTTGGTGGCACGTGTGTGAATGTCGGCTGTATTCCAAAGAAGCTTATGCATCAGGCGGCACTGCTTGGCACTGCTGTCAAAGATGCTAGGAAGTATGGCTGGCAAATCCCAGAATCCCTGTCACATGACTGGTGAGTTTCATGAATCTATATCAGAAACGCGTGGCATTGCTTATAGACAGAGCAGCTTTATTGCGGTAATTATTAGTGTAGCTTCATCCTGATCAGAGCATGTAATAATATTCATTTAATATTGAGTGGTGAGGTAGGTTTTGTTTCAAATACTACTTTCACAAGCGCTTTATGAGGCACAGCACCACCTTGTGGTAAAAAAAAAAACAGATGTCCGACTGCTCAAATGCAAAAGAACAACAGTCTTTGCACTAGAGGGCACTCCAGGTCTGATTAAGAGGTTAGGGGTTTACAGGTTTTTTTTTTTTTTTTTTTTTTACAAAAGCTGGCCTTAAATACAACTTTCCATACATTTGCAATACCATTGCTGAGCTATATTTGGCGTTCTCCCTGAAAATATTAAACTAATGTCTTTTTGTAAATGGATAATATAGCACTTTCAGTGGGTGTTTGACCTCCTGTTTCCCCTCAAACTTGAAAAGGAAGTGTGTCTGTGTGTACACACACATAATATAAAAACCCTACACCTCCATGTACATATACAGTAATAGCCTCTTTAATTGTTTACTCTCACATTCATATTTTATTGTTATAATAAGAGGTTTGTTTGAAACTACATCTTGTTGAGATGTTTATTTATTTTTACCAAAAGGCATTAGTATGAAAAAAATCATGTGCATGTATGTCTACCTATTTCAATGTAGCAAAATATTAAATCTCAAATGCATGTGAGGTGTCTGTAGGGATTTGCATTATTGTGACCAGGTAAGTTCCAGTAGAACTGTAGTTTTGTGAAATATGTTTCAGGTCAACAATGGCTGAGGCTGTCCAGAACCATGTGAAGTCTCTAAACTGGGGTCACAGAGTTCAACTACAAGACAAGTAAGATTACTATTAAAATAACATCACCTGTATGTACTTTTTTCAGTATTGTTTATAGATTTTATATAGAGACCATTTGTCGATCGAGAGCAATGTAACGGTTTATTCTTTTGGAGTTAATGATAACTATTTCTGTGCAGATCCAAGCAACCTTTTTAAAATGATCCATATAATGTGATGCTGACTGTGGCTGTTGGAAAAAGTAAATTATGTCGTTAGACTAATGTGTCAGAATCTTGGTTGTTGAACTACAGGTTGAGGGTTCAAAAAACACTTTATCACCATTGTACCGTTGACTATGACATTCAGCACCAGTGTATTCCAGAAGGGCCTGTAGTAGGTGTACAGTGCTTCTTTCAGAGTAAATATGGTGTATTAGCTAATTACTGAAAATAATTATGAATGATTTGGGAAGAAATATGCAGATGTTTTAGAGCAGAGTCTTTGTTCCCCAGTAGATCTCATTAGCTGTCCATCTCTTTCACCATTTCATCAGGTAATTACAGTCTGAGGCTATATGAACATAGAGAATGTGCCATCATGATAAATTGTACTAAATTTCAGCCGTCTTGCTGTATGGCTCTGAGGCAAACAGGTGTGGTGATGTCATTTCCCAGAATGCACAAAGTATATGTCTCCACATTACAGCAGAAGTGTCAGGTTGTGTTTGAACAGCAAAATTGTTAATGATCACATTTTGTTATTGCTGTTATCGCCATAGGTTGACATGGAGAATTATGATGCCAGTAGACAACTTCGGTTCATGTGTTGGTATTTTAATGTGATATAACAATCTCTCTGTCCGATGTTACAGGAAGGTGAAATATTTGAATATGAAGGGCAATCTGGTGGATAAACACACTATCAGAGCTGTAAATGCCAAAGGGAAAGAGGTATGATTTTGAGTTTAAAACCACTTAATTCTCTGAAATATTATTTAACCAGCAATCTGATGTGCCATGTTCTTGTTTACCTTTGTATTCTTTGTATTCACAGATGACAGTGACCGCCAAAAACATTGTGTTAGCTACTGGTGGACGGCCGAAGTACCCTACACATGTAAGTGTGCTTGCCAGTGCAGGCGGGCATGTGTGGGTGTTGTCTTTCCACTATGTGACCTTGTTCTGTTGATAAGCGAGCAGCAGAGATAACTTCCTCTTGTCTAACTTTCCAAATATGAGACAATTGATATTATTCTTCCTCAGACTTGAAAGCCTGCTATTTGTCTTTGCTTCCATTGAGATACTGGTAAAAGATAACCATATTCGAAATGATCAAGAGACCAGTAAAGAGTGGAACAAACATATTTATTTTCCTCGGTTTGGGGTAAATAGGCAAAATATTGTACAGTTAAAGAAATAGATGCTTCTTCTTGGAGCAATTACTGTTTTGTATTGTGACATTGTTTTCATAAAAAATAATATATATATATATATTTTTTTTTTTACAATAATATATATTTTTTAATATTGGGAGCATTTTATTTTTTCATTATTAGTATTATTATAAACAGTAATTGTTATTTTTGAGTTTTATTTTTAAAAAAAGTAAATAAATAGGCAAGAAATTATCAATTTAAAGAAAGTGATGTCTCAGGGCAATTCATGTTTTGCAGTGTTTTCATGAAAAATAATAATTGAGAGATTATTTTACATTCATATTAAATTAATCAAATTGAACAAATCAAAATGTTTATTTAATGTAACATTACTTACTATACATATATAGTTAAACATATGTTAAATTGGATAATGTTATTGAGGAATATTGGAAGAATTTTATTTGATCATTGTTGGTATTATTTACAACAGTAATTGTTATTTTTGAATTTTAAGTAATGTTAATATAATATCAATATTTATATACATGGAATTGTACATTTAGTATTAGTATTGATAGTATTAATGGTTTTATTTAGATTTTAATGTTTCTATAGCTTTTAATATTATATTTTTAAAAAATGATTACTATTAAATTGATTGCTGCTTGTGCTGAATATTTCATCTTTAAAATGACCGATCTGTATGGTTCATCCTTCAGGTCCCAGGAGCCATGGAGTTCGGGATCACAAGTGATGATGTCTTCTGGCTCAAAGAGTCTCCCAAAAAAACGTAAGTGACTTTTATATTGTGGACCAGACCGCAGAGCAAACATGTGAGAAAACATATTCACCCATTAAGTCTGATTAAAGGAAGGCAGCACTTTATTGAGTGATTCAGCGTCATCTTCCAGTCGTGAGAGGTCAAGAAATTTGCTTTACCTGTTGCTTTGCTCATACTTCTAATTATGCTTGTCACGTTTAGCCAGCTGCATTTGTATGCAAGTTCATTATTATTATATTACACATTCTTTTCCAGAATGCACTGAGCAAAATACAGACTTTATTTAGAGATGAACTTCTGCTTAAACTCGTATTTTCAGTTCCTTACCCTCAACTCGAGTCACGCTAGTTACTGTCATGGCCACATCCTCTCAGACAGCTGATGTTGTTTTGCTGTTGAGCTGTCAGCTGTACAGGTGTGATTTCAGACTGTTGCCAGTAACAGTGCTCATCCTGTGGAAGTGGCAAGACCTTGGTGACTGACGGGCATGAGCAAGACTATTGGCACGCATGCCCGAGAGGGCGAAGGAAAAGCTTTTACATTGACTCGTGCAGTCGTTTCCACCAAAACAGCAGAGCATCTGTCAGGACTGATGACATACTGTATGCTTTGGATTCTCAAGACTACCAAATGATGCATTCAGTTTGATATCAACCCTTGGGCTCATTACATAAACGTCAATGTTGAAAAGAACTTGTTTTGAAGGAACCAGGTGACTATTTTGCCTGTGGTTCAGGTGTCCAATAGGCCTCGGGACCCACAGATGCTCATGCAGTAAATAGTCCTCTGTCCTGTTATCTCTCTCTGCTCTGCTGAAATGAAAGGAGGCTCAGTCTGGGCAGACGTTAGGGAAGGCACAGCATGAACTTGCTGATCTTATCATGGTCGGGGTTATTATAGAAGTGCTGCCCAAGGTTGACTGAGTCTACAGTATCCACAGTTCCCACACACTCCCCAGGATGAACTCTCCCTCCTGCTGTTAATGCATGAATATAGAAGCTAGTAGGACTTTGACCAAAGAGAATGTTATGCTAGGCCTAACAGTAAATGGCTGCAGTTATTTAAGGACATGTTAAAATATGACCAGATTTTTTTTTTTCTCCTATTTTACATATTGAGTGAAAAGAAATTTATGGCAGAGAGAGGTAATGTGATTCGGAAACATGACAGTGGATTCAAACTGGGGTGAGAATCAGCAGAGACATGGTGATGTGACATTATATCTGGATCATAATATGATTATGATATGTGTGACCCTGGACCACAAAACCAGTCATAAGGGTCAATTTTTCGAAATTGAGATTTATACATCATCTGAAAGCTGAATAAATAAGCTTTCCATTGATGTATGGTTTGTTAGGATAGGACAATATTTGGCCGAGATACAACTATTCGAATATCTGGAATCTGAGGGTGCAAAAAAATCAAAATACTGAGAAAATCGCCTTTAAAGTTGTCCAAATGAAGTTCTTAGCAATGCATATTACTAATCAAAAATTAAGTTTTAATATATTTACAGTAGGAAATTTACAAAATATCTTCATGGAACATGATCTTTACTTAATATCCTAATGATTTTTGGCATAAAAGAAAAATCTATAATTTTGACCCATACAATGTATTTTTAGCCATTGCTACAAATATACCCCAGCAACTTAAGACTGGTTTTGTGGTCCAGGGTCACATATAATTATGCAATTATTTTTGTTTAATGTGTAGTTATTTAAAATTGTGATATTGCATACTTTCATTCACTTTTTCATTCATCTGAATTGGGCTATGCATAATTATGTTCTTATGCTCAGTCTAAGATTGGATTATGATTAAATGGAACAAATATAATGTGTTTTTGCAAAAAGTAATTTTGTTTAATCTGTGAGGGGCCATATAACATTATACATCATACTTCTATATAACATATCTAAATTATTATTATACACTATTGAAGCGTTTGGAATAATTGAGTTTTAAGTCTCTTATGCTCACCAATGCTGCATTTATTTGATCAAAATATTGTGAAATATTATTACAATTTAAAACGACTATTTTTTATTTTAATATACTTTAATTCATTATTTAAAAATGATGTTATTTGTTTATTCATGTGATGGTTAAGCTGAATTTTCAGCAGCCAATACTCCATAAAAATGAAGGATCATGTGACACTGAAGACTGAAGGAATCAGAATCATTAATTCTGATTCCTTAAATAATTTTTTTAACTAATAATATTTCACAATTTTGCTGTTTTTACTTTGGTTTTGATCAAATCGTTGCAACATTGGTGAGCATATATGACCTCTGTCAAACACATTACAAATATTTATTAACATTAAACATAAATAATAAATAACAAATAATTAAACATAAAAAAAATGATGAATAAATCAAGTTATTCTTTATTCTACATATTTGACCAGTAGTGTATATAACCAATTAAAATTGAGGATGTGTGTGAACATGCAAATTGGCTCAAAATTTTAAGATGTTCATTTTAAGGTTTTAAATTATTAAATGTATTATTAATTATGAAATGTATTAAATAATAAATGACTAATTTCAGTAATGAAAATAATTTCAATAGATTTCAATATGTTGTCAATATATTATATGTGAAGGGAGAAGAAGTGTTACCTATACAAATGCAAATCAATGCAATGCATTTAGGTCTCATGTATCCTGTATTAGTCATTCTATGTTAACTGAAATGTCCCTTATACTAATCCAGACAGAAGGTTTTTAGCCCATGTCATTCCTGATCATCAGACTTTTTGCACTGTGGCAGGTAGGAGCTCAGGTGTTTTGTTGATAAAACAGCAGAAAAGAGGTCTGAGATTTTGCTCCTAATCCCTCCATAAGCTGCCTCACAAAAGAGCAGTAAGTGCAGATGTGCATTAGCAGTGTTGTACACCGAATGCGTGTGATGTTGCATTGGCGTAAGTGGGTATCACTCAGCAGTAACGTGTAGGAACATCCTCGAGGATTAGACCTTGTGTTAACAATTAGACTTCGCCATGACCATGAATCTCAGGGCGGATTAAAGCTGATGTTGGACGTCGACCACACACACAGTCATTTTATTGTGTTTTATTGTGTTAAAGTGGTGTGCAACATTTTAGTATCATTTATTTTTTCATTATGTTTCCTACGTCCTGTGACTGATTTACTGACTCTTTTGCATTTGTTTGTTTGTCATTGTTATGTGACATCATTGTTCATGTTGCTCATCTGTGATCTCATTAATTGCTGTTTTCTGTGTGTTTCAGGTTGGTTGTTGGTGCCAGTTGTATCCTTGAAAGCCCACTTACTGTAAAGGCGGAGTGTCTACAGATGACTCTATTAGAAGAAACACAATGATTAATCATGGAGTGCATTTACATGTTCAACCAATTGCTGATAAATCGGCTGAAGATGAAAAAGATTTTGTTTTTAGTCTGTTTTTCTTTACCAGAATACTGCTGAATACACCACGGAAACTAAAGGTTTACGTGGTGCAGTGAGCACCAATCTTTATGTTGGTTTTTCTTATGGTTTTTGACTGAGTTTTACCCACTAAGGCGTTTACATGTTCTTACATGTTGTCAGGTTATTAAGGATAATTAGTGTATGATTGTGCATGTAAACACACTCAAGTTTTTCCTCATAGACTGTGATTTTGAAAACCTAATAAATTAGCAATAAAAGAATAAAAAGCTTCAGTTAGACTGTATATTAGACTGTATTTTCTGTTTTATTTGTTTAATTATTTTACTATAAAGTTAGTAAATCATTACTGTTTTCCTTCACTGTGTGTGTGTGTGTGTAAAGATGTAGCGTTGGAATGTGCATTTTGTTTTTAGTCTGTTTTTCTTTACCAGAATACTGCTGAATACACCACGGAAACTAAAGGTTTACGTGGTGCAGTGAGCACCAATCTTTATGTTGGTTTTTCTTATGGTTTTTGACTGAGTTTTACCCACTAAGGCGTTTACATGTTCTTACATGTTGTCAGGTTATTAAGGATAATTAGTGTATGATTGTGCATGTAAACACACTCAAGTTTTTCCTCATAGACTGTGATTTTGAAAACCTACTAAATTAGCAATAAAAGAATAAAAAGCTTCAGTTAGACTGTATTTTCTGTTTTATTTGTTTAATTATTTTACTATAAAGTTAGTAAATCATTACTGTTTTCCTTCACTGTGTGTGTGTGTGTGTAAAGATGTAGCGTTGGAATGTGCCGGCTTCCTTACAGGCATTGGACTGGACACCACTGTGATGGTGCGCAGTATCGCCCTCCGGGGGTTTGATCAGGTACTGCATCTCTCTTTTGGTCCCTTGACAACATGTCCTCTCTGATGTATTTAGAAACGACAACAACAAAAATCTCTCCTCTTTTTTTATTAACCTGATTTAATTTGTATTTGAGTTGTGAAATATACTTATAAGAATAGTTATTATCGGTCTCAATAACATTGCTTTTGGTTTTGGGCATTCTTTAATGTGACTCACCCTGGTAGAACCGCCAGGCTGTATGGCAAAAACAGGATGAGAGACCTGGCCAGACTTGTTTTATGACCCTGTTTTTTAAGCATTCATCTTTAATTAATGGTTGTAGTGTTCTGACAGGAGATTTGTCATGTTGTTATTAAGCATTACACCCGCAGTATGGTCTGAAAGTAGTAACAGAATGACAACAAAGAGCAAATTGCTCCGTTGAAGTAAAATCTGTGTTTAAGAAAACAAATGATAAGGAAAAGCTCTTAAATGTATTTTGAAAGCATCATTTTATTTGTACAGTACTCTTGTAGATAAAATCTGTTCTCCTTCAATTAAAATGTTACGGAAGTTCTAAGCGGCCATGCAATATATATTTTTTCCTTCTTGTTTTCTCGTTATAACGACTTAATTTTCTCGTTATCTCGACATAACGAAAGTTGTTTTCTCGTTGTATATATATATATATATATATACTTTTAATTTAAAAGTTAAAATATTTTTTTTAATTTATTAGTATTATTTATTTATTTTATTTTTTTTGCTTATATGGTATTACTGTGGCCTAACTGTTGCTAGGTTAGAAATTCATAACTCACTCCACAGTCTCTTTTTTTCTCACATAATAAAATACCTCACTCAGTTACAAATCAATGCCATTTATCTATGTCGAGATCACGAGAAAATTAAGTCGTTATAATGAGAAAACAACTCGTTATGTCGAGATCACGAGAAAATTAAGTCGTTATAACGAGAAAACAACTCCTTATGTCGATATCACAAGAAAATTAAGTCGTTATAACGAGAAGTAAAAAAAATATATTGCATGGCCGCTTAGAACTTCCGTAAAATGTTATGCATATTATTATATATTTGGAGAAATATCTATTATTATTAGGGGTTATAGGGTTCTTATTTGATGTGTCCATATGATGCTTTAAAGTATTTTCTTTTATATTTTTAGTTATGTTAGTTACTAAAAAGTAGCTTTTAGTGATTTTTATTGTGAGATGTTTAAAAATGTATTATTTGTTATTTCCTCTTGTTTATTGATTTGAAGGCAAATGACAGTTTTGTTTGTGTCCAGCATTTACAGAGAATGATGTCTCTGAGATTAAGATCTAAAATAATTTTTCTGAAACTATTTAGCTTGCATGACTCTAAAGAATAGAGATAGTTAATGTTTTATTTTTTCTGCTTGTCTCTCAGCAAATGTCTGGTTTAGTCACAGACTACATGGAGGCCTATGGCACCAAGTTCTCCTGGAAGTGTACACCAAAAAGCATAGAAAAGCTCCCATCTGGGATTCTTCGCGTCACATGGATGAATCTAAACACTAAAGAGGAACATCAAGACACCTTCAACTCAGTACTTTGGGCTGTAGGTGAGGCCTTAATGCATCTCAAATACACATTCAGCGTGATTTAATTTATTAGGCACTTTTGTTGCTAGGTTAGAAATTCATAACTCACTCCACAGTCTCTTTTTTTCTCACATAATAAAATACCTCACTCAGTTACAAATCAATGTCATCCATTTATCTATTTATTTTCTAAGGAGCCGTGTAATAAGCAGAATACAGTCAACCAGTCATTTTATTAAAGTAAATCTTTTGAAAAAAAATCAACAAAAAAACTTCCGTTTCATTGATCAAACTGTCAGGGTTTATTTAGCGATTAATGACTGTCTCACTGTACTTTGTCTCTTACTGCTCTAACAGAGATTAATGCTGCAGGAAAACATGTTGTACAGTTGAGTCATCCGCTGTGATCAGTTATGCTTTCATCGCATTTCAAAAGCATAAATCCTCAAAATACATATATCTGTTTGTGCTTATATTGTCCTATTCCACAGTGCTGCCTTATCAGCAAAAACTAGACTATCAGCCTGAAAACAGGGTAATAAAGAGAGAGGGATGGAATCATCTAGGGAAGAGTTAATCACTGAACTGAGGTCTGCTCTTCAGGACCAGGATGCACCAGGGGCCCTGGGGTCGCCCCATTCCCTGCTTTGTTCTCTCGCTCTGGGTTTTCCTGCCAGAGTTGTGTGTCTCTCTGTACGGAAACCCACCCAGAGCTTCCACGGTTTTTCCCTTTTCTCGTCCCTCAGCATCTCTATCCACAGATGCCATCCTCTTTTCTGTGTTTCTGTCTTTCACTCGTCTGATTTCTCTCATTCCGGTTACAGGGACAATGAGAGGAATATAGGAATATCCGGCTGGCTGGTGCTGGTTGATTTATTGCTGGTGTGAGAAGAGGGTGTGGAGCGGTGCTGCTTTGAGTGTGTACAGTGAGGATGAGAATTCAGCTTCCTGTCTGGATGTGTGTGTAACATGGAGAGAGAGATTTAGTTATCTGTATTGACTCCTATTGCAATGCATGGCAGCATTGGCTTTGGGTGTTTGATGAGTTAAGTGGTTTTCTCAGGCCTTTTTGTTCCTGAGATTTCGGTCCAGACTTGTTTGCAGTCTAGGGATTATAGTGCTCTCAGGTTTGCAGTCCTGACAGTGCGTTTTGACTTTTACCACAGATATGTGTATTTAGTCATATTAAGGTATGAACTTGAGTGCATAAAAACCTAGTGCGTAAAATGTAGTGGTCAACTGATATCTTAAAAAACAAGGTTGACACATGGCCAGTACAGGTGATACTGGACTGAATAACTACGTCTCTGGTTTACCCATGCAATGTTCAATAAATATTACATTTATTAATTGCAATAATGTACAAATGTGAACAGTTCTACCATCAAGTACTATCAGATTTACTACTGTGTCTTCATTAGCCTAACTGTAGGTGGTTCATGGCTGCCAAGCAAATTTGTTTTATAGTCAAATAGTGTTAGTATTGGCTGTTGTCATAGTGGAAAGAGCTTTGAGAGGCTGATATCCTCTATCAGACCCCTGAGAGGATGCTGCGTTTCCCTGCTGTGGTCTGTCTGTTTCTCCGTCCTGCTCTCTTTCTCACAGTGAAAGCATAAAAATTTGCATTTTTTTTATCTCCCTCATGACAACTCATAGAGCAGCCCCATCCCTCCTCTTGTCTTTTACCCCCAGCGGAGCTCTTCCACCCTTCCGCACCTCCATCCTTCCTCTGGACTGCACCCTTCTGCAGGTGGCTGCGCTAAACGCCAGGAAAGAGAACATTTCCTCCATGCTGTACTGTAGGTTTACCGCTTTTATGAGGATTGAAGAAGGGAAGTAATATACTTAACATAAATAGGCTTTCCGATTGGTTCACAATTGTGTCCATCTGATGTATTTTGATTAATTCTCACTTTATTTTTATACCCTTACAAAAAATTACAATGATTTCTAAAGTAAAACCATGATAATTTAAGTAAAAATGTAATAGTTACTGCAGTTACTACTGTAAAACTATTGTTAACAGGCTGTTATTGTCCTGAAAAAATAGAAATAAATGTGACGTGTAATATTTGGATCTTAAAATTAGTGTTAGACTCTTCTATGTAGGTCAATATATTGCCATTTTTAGATTATCTGTGAATATCTCGTTTTACTTATTAACATTTGATGGTTCCAGATTATGTCATTTCCACAATATCATCATTGGACTGTTATTTTTATTCATTCATTCATTCATTTGTTTTATTTTATTTTATTTTTTTATCTTTATTATTATTATTTTTTTAGTCAATTTTTAGTTGCCACCATTAAAATGTATTATGTATATATTGGCATTACAGAGCTTGGAGAGGGACATTCTTCTTTTTGCCTGACCACTGGTAGAGGAACCCTGTTTGAAAACAACCATTATTTTTTACAGCTTTGTTTGGTTTTGTCTAATTTCAAAGAAATTACACATTTCATCTTTAAAGAAAATTAAAATACAATTTAAAGTTCCTTAATGTTTATTCTTTTTTAATCCATTTATTGCAGTTAGTAATCGTATGGACTATGTGTTTTGGAGGAAACTGTAATCATTTTATAATATTAATTCGCTGTTATGTCTAGACTAAGCCATTCTTTCAGTTTAATTAATTTAAGGGCATATGTTTTAGTCGCATTATATTTGCCAGGAGCTGTTCTTCTGCTACTGTGCAGTAACATTTAATTAAATCACTGTGGAGAATTACAGATCTCACACTGATTTCATGTGTGACTGGAATGGAAGGCAGCTTAATCCTCTCTTATTGTTTCATCCATTTTTCTCTCCAGCCTGTTGAGTCGATAAGGCTCATTTAAAGTCCTTCCAGGCAGATTGTTGTGGCTAATTAACATGTTGGCCTTGAGATTTCTGTCTTGTACAACTCCAGGCTTTGTTCTTGTGCATTATCAGAGTCAGCTGTTTGTGTGTGTGTGTGTGTGTGTGAGAGAGAGAGAGTGAGGAGGTGTGGGTTTGAATTCTCAGGCGTAGTCCTTATCAGTGGTCCTGTGTTGTTGTGTCCAGCCTTCACAATGCCCAGCGAAGTTCCAGGAGTCCAAATCAGACAGAAAAAGAGACAGGAAGTGCAGTGCAGGAATTGCCCGCTCCAGTTTGACGCAGATACTGGTACTTTTCCCGCTTTACTGTAATCATCGTTTCAGGTCCTTTTTTCAGATTAACCAATAAAATGTGCATTCTCACTATTATCGGGCTGGCTTTGCCCACACAAAGTCAAGGACGTTTTTTTTCCACAGCCCGTGAAGGATATCTTGAGGGTTTTGTTGCTGATGGAATGTGGTGTAAAACAAAGGATGTCTTTCATGTAAATTGCACCGGCAGAGCTTGTAGTTTGTGGACGTGTGTCAGCAACATCCTTTAACACAGCCATAGAAATAAGTGTAAAACTCTATCTATTCAGTATTATTTTATTGCCAACATAAAATCATACAACACCATTATTATGGGTAATTAATACTGCATTTTATTTTACCTTGTAGTTCTGTCAGTGCCAGTAGTTTTGTCTTCAAATGTTTTAGTAAAACATTAGAAGACAAAACTACTGGACAGCTATGCATACCAATATATAAATATTCAGATATGTATTGAAAATGAAATGGCTGAAATAAATATATATATATATATATATAAACTATGGAACATAAAAGAAGATGATTTGAGAAACATTGCAGTATTTTTTGTTCATGCAATGAAAGTTACTGGTAACCAAAACAGCTTTGTTACTAACAGTCTTCAAAATATCTTCTTTTATGTTATGCCAAAGAAAGTAAGTCATTCAGGTTTGAAACAACATGAGGGTGAGTAAATGATGACAGAATTTATTTATTTATTTATGGTGAACTATCCCTTTAATGTTTTTATTTATTTATTATTTTAATAATTCTTCTAAAGAAGAAACTAAATCTGCCAGCAAGTGGCGGTAAATGCCTTTATGATTCGTTCAAATGGCTGATTCATGAATCATTGGTTCAGGCTACAATGGCCTAACATAAACTATGGAACATAAAAGAAGATAATTTGAGAAACATCTCAGTATTTTTTGTTCATGCAATGAAAGTTACTGGTAACCAAAACAGCTTTGTTACTAACAGTCTTCAAAATATCTTCTTTTATGTTATGCCAAAGAAAGTAAGTCATTCAGGTTTGAAACAACATGAGGGTGAGTAAATGATGACAGAATTTATTTATTTATTTTTGGTGAACTATCCCTTTAATGGTTTTTATTTCTTTCTTTCTTTTTGGTGAACTAACCCTTTAATGTTTTTTATTTATTTATTTATATTATTTTTGAAATTATACTCTAAAGAAGAAACTAAAACTAACAGCAGGTGGCGGTAAATGTCTGTATGAGTCGATTCATTCAAACGGCTGATTCATTCAGGAATTCAGTAAACGGCTCTCTCTTTAATGGGCCTTTGAATCATTGATTCACTCGATTCGTTCAAAACGCAGATTCATTCAGAAACTAAACACCGCTGTGCTGCTCGGAGATGCACAACAGTTCTGCTGTGGCTTTAAAGATAATATGTTCTCTGCAAAATTGAGCAAAAACACATAATATTGTGTTTAAAATATAACACAATATTAACTTCTTATTTACTGAACTGTTGTATCAAATCACATTTGCACTCGTGCAAATCAGGATAAAAGCGGCACTCGTGTGATACTGCTCTCCCTGCTCGTGTGATATCCCTTATAAAAGGATATGAGACATACAGGGGCATCCCCCCCCCACCCCATATCTTGAAATTTAGGGCATACCTGCATTTATGGAGTTGTTGCCCTGCATCATATTTGTCAACATTAAACTATGAAATGTAAGATGACGTACAGGTCTGGGGGTGGGGTCAGTGCGTTAACTGCGTTAAAATATTTTAATCGCGTTATTTTTTCATAACTAATTAAGTTAAGGCGTTAAACTGACAGCCCTAGTGTGTGTGTGTGTGTATATATGTATATATGTATATGTGTGTGTATTAGATACTGTAATATCTGCCTCTTTTTTTTTTTTACTATATATAGTATTAATAATAGAGTTCTTAGTTTACTGCCCATGATTGTTACTCTAAAGTGATTAAAAATTATTTGTATAATCCTGAATTCTCTCTCTCTCTCTCTCTCTCTCTCTCTCTCTATATATATATATATATATACATTATTTATTTGGATAAACCTGTTTGGAAACAATTTTTGCAGTTCTGTTTGGTGCCATTATTGGCACACACAGATTTTTTTTTTGGAAAATGCAGCTTAGTGTTTTTAATTTATGTGATGTCTTTCATTTAATGTGTTGAATCTAATTTTATTGCGTTTTTACATTGTACTTTGTATACAACAAATTAGTCATAAGTACCATTTTACTTAGCCAGTAAATGGCAGCTTCAAACTTCAGTTTCAAGACCTGTCTATCAGAAAGGCTGAACAAAAATGTGTTTGATATTTTGTGCATTTGTTTTTACACATTGTCTCTCTATAGCGTTTCGGCATCTCTACCTCTTTCTCGGAGTAATCGATGAATACATACTCAAGTCGTATCTGTGGCTCAGGTCTCACTGTAGTGGAGCAGAAGGAAGTTGTTTCTGAGCTTGAGGCAGGAAAAGGGGCTTAAGGTTTGTTGTTCTTGCTGGCTGATAGCATCTACATTGGTACCTCTGGCTTCTGCTGCAAACATTGTTTATTGTGATACCTATGAAGGCATTGGGACATGAGTCTTGTGTGTGTGCGTGTCTTAAGACGTCGTAAATGGGGGAAGGGGGATGTAGATGGACAAGTGTCGACAGCCTCTCTCAGCCCTCGGATAGGAAGTGACAGAAATTACACTGCAGGCCCCAGGTGGCTGATGGGATATGCATCCAGGTCTCCTCATTACGCTCTCTGTCAGACCACCACACAGAAACCTTCTACCCCAGCTGTGCTTGTGTTTTCTTTTCTAATCACTGGATAAGATTTTACCCTTTAATCTGAGCGTAAAGCCACCTCTAAATTCTCCCAGCAGGCCGAGCGGTTAACTCCAACGTCAAGCCTCCAAAAGCTGTCCGATATGTCGCTCTACCTGTCACTACCTCTCTTCTCTTTGACCTTAGGCAGAGCATCTGAAACCAAGACCCTCAATTTGGACAAGGTTGGTGTGGAGATCAACATAGAAACAGGGAAGATAATCGTAGCTGCTGACGAAGCCACATCCGTGCCGAACATTTTTGCTATCGGAGACATCGCTGAGGTAGGTGTTATGGATGAATGCCATCAAAAACTCACTAACATGGTAGTCGAACTCAACTGAGAAGGCACAACTTGAAAGCAACAGCATATTCTTGTCTGTCAGTTCAGTCGCTCTTCTGGAAGGTCGTTGCCCTGTAACATCTCAAGACACAACTGGCTGCCGGGATCAAATATCGCAGCTGCCCGTCATCTGCAGCAGCTGTGTGATTATTGGCACACACACACACCACCACAAAACTAGTCAGAAGAAGCGCCTTTTACTCTTTACGCCCCTTTCAAAGTGCATCGCTTCTCATTTTTTAATGAAAGAAAACAAGATGTTGAGCCGCACCTGGTTACTGCCAAGAAATGCATTTACTATACAGCTGCCTGGGCGGTGTCCACACACACACACACACTATGAGCCAAACACCCGAGGCGGTTTCTTGGACAGCAGGATGTACAGAAGTTATCAGACTGGTTGCTGATGCCATTAGTCAGTGAATGAGAATTCGCCCCATGGTGCTGCATGTTCCTGTAGGCATGTTTTTCACAGCACTGATTGGCAGCCATCCACTTCTGCGCTGTAATCATCATCGTGACTGACAGCCGTGTAATGTTGAGATGATACTAATCTCTGAAATGTCTGATCAGGCTAATCGCACATAGATTTACACTTAACTACACAGCGTTTAAACATAATGCAGAGGAAATTATTGTATAGAACTTTTCCGTTATATTGTTGTGCACTACCTGACCTGCCCAGAACTTTTAGACTGGATTTGCTTTTGAATGTATCCGTGCATGTGTGTCAGTGTTATTTTAGTATTATTGATGCAGTGTACTATTATAGTATTAATTAATATTTTGAATTGTCTTTTATTATAATAGTTTAATGAAAATTTTTGTTTAGGTTTTAGGTAGTTTTTTTTTGTTGCATTTTTTATTTCTATTTTCCTGTAATTAAGTTTTAGTTAACAATAACAACACTGATGTGTATGTGTGCCCACTCCTTCTCTGTTTCAGGGTCGTCCTGAGTTGACCCCGACAGCCATTAAGGCTGGAAAGCTCCTGGCCCGCAGACTTGTGGGCCATTCCACTGAGCTCATGAATTATGACAACGTGAGTTTGCCGTCACATGTATATGCTTTCATTCTTGTTCGCTCTTTGTTTCTTTACTGGTTTCTAAGCGAATCACACAACGCCTATATTTAGGGTGGCCATATGTGCCGTTCATATGGGACACGTCCTGGCCAGGATTTTTATATTGCCTAAAACATCCAAAGTAGTTTGACCAATAACATGCAGGTATTGTATATAATCGACCAATCGTGGCGCGTGAGAAGGTGAGATCTACAGAGAACGATCAAAGCGACGCAAATAAGCGCACGTGTTTGTTCGTTCGTTCGACTTGAAGCGTGGCTGCGCACTGATCATTGAATGACACCGAAGTACCTCGAGAGCGATTCAAAAGTGTAAGGAGCCGTCTGATCTGCTCTCTAGCTCTCGTGAATGTCATACAACGATCGATCTGCACAGTGCAAACAGCCAAAACTTGGATATTTTAGGCAATATAGAAATCCTGGCAAGGACGCGTCCCGTAAAAATCGCCCGTATGGTCACCCTACCTATATTTCACCTCAAAATCAAAAGGAACAAATAAGAAATTATCTTTTACATAAAGAAAGTGAGGCCTAATTTTTTTAACCCTTAAGATTATTTGTATTGTTATTTTCAGGACAATTAAAACATTTACTGTACAGTACGGTAAAACATTACTGTAATGACTAGAAATCTTTTAATGCACAAAAGGCAACCATTAAATATTATTTAAATGGTAAAATTATAAATCACAGTATTATTTGATGTACTACCTGTACTTAATTATTTTACCTTTCTATAAAACATTTACATTAGTATTTTACACATTTTTATATGTGCATAATTACAAATTTTTCAAAATTTTATTAAATATATTTAATACAATTACTAAAAAAAATACAAATAATGATTTATGCTTTAATTTGAAAATATTCTTGTTACAGTATTTTTTTGATAATGCAATCATAATCTTTGAGGATAACAGGAATTACAAAAAAACTGGAAAAAAATTACTGTAATGAGACTTAACTGTGAGAATACTGTCATGAAAATAATGTCTTAGTGCAACAAAAATTATTTTGATTTATGTATATGAAAAATATATTTGAAATGTCCCATTTTGTGAGATTTACTTTTCTAGTGGTTCTCTTGTTTTGTTTTGTATAAAAAAATAATAATTATATGAATCTTCACCACTCTAATTAATTTATGTTTTGTTTTGTGTGCTGATTAGTTTACTTGAGTCTTTTGCATAGTGTATGTGTTTTATATGGTTGTGTGTGTTTGTGTGTGTATAGGTGGCCACTACAGTGTTCACTCCACTAGAGTATGGCTGTGTAGGTCTGTCTGAAGAAGAGGCTGAAAGGAGACATGGAAAAGACCAGATTGAGGTAAAATACAGCATTTTTGCCATGGGTGTTGTTAGACACAACATTAAGTTCAGTTATAAAATGGCAACAGCAGCAATATGAATAAATGTTCAATACAAGATTAATAATAGCAGTCAACTTTTCTTCCATGCGTATGTGAGTGCTTTTGTGAATATCCTGCTGTATATGTGCATGTATGTTATAGTGGGCCCTCGCACACCTGCATGGCTCCAAAGCCTAAAGCATTCGGAAAGGGGTGTGCCTCGGGTTTGATTGACAGGAGTGCAGGAGGGCTGACTGATGCTTGTAGAGGTTGATGAGAGATGATCAAAAGCGCAGCATCCCATTGGCCCTCACAGCTGTGAGCAGCGTGTGTCAGCTCGCCAGAGCGCTCGCTCTTAAGCATGTTCAACATTTATGATTTCAGCACCCCAAAAATGTTTAGAGCAGCAACACGGACACAAACCATAACAGTAGCAGCACTTGTTTCCAAGTGCTTGTCTAAAATGACGAGCTCAAGTGGTTGATGATGCAGGAAACGGTGTTGTTGTTGGTGCGTCATAGTTTTTGTGTTGTGACACAAAATCAAACCACCCTATCAACAACATACTGTAGCAACAAACTAATAACCACTCAGCAACCAAATAGCAACACCCTGGCAACTATCCTCAACAGCCCAGTATCATGGCGCTGACTTTTGCATGGACAAACACCAGTTGTAGTTTTGTCTAATATTTAAACACAGTTGAATTTATACATATTCATTTTTCGATGGTCTGAAGTTTGCAACTTAGTCACTACCTTGGGTCTCTCTTTGATTCTGATGTAGGTGTTACACTACTATTCAAAGACATTTTTACATTTTTGAAAGAAACTGATGTTTATGTTCACTAAAATAGCATGAGTTGATCAAAGTACAGTAAAAATAGTAATACTGTAAAATATTGTTACTGTATGAAATAACTCCTTTTCGATAAAATTAGATTTTTACCTGTGATTTTTACTTGTGAATACCCATTTTCAGAAGCCATTACTCCAGTCTACAAAGAAAATCATTCTGATATGCTGTTTTAGTTCTTGAGAAACCTTTCTCGTTATTAACACACCTGAAAATGGCTGCATTGCATAATGAAGTCTGGAAATTGCAATACAGATGACTTTTTGCAGTTGCTTGTATCGATTACAGTCACAGATTTATATACAGAAAATATTTATAACATTTATGAATGGCGTTACTATCATTTTTAATGAATTCTATGCATCCAAGATGAGTAAAATAATAAAGTTCTTCTAAAAATATAATTGAATGGTAACTGAATCCATGTTCTCTCCCTCTCAGGTGGTTTGTCTACGGGAGGGTGATCAGCGTGTGCTGGGTATGCATTTTACCGGACCGAGCGCTGGTGAGGTCACACAGGGCTTTTCTCTGGGCTTCCAGTAAGTTTCGCATGTCTTCGTACCTGCTCATGCTGTTGAACTGGAATCAGATTACATTCATTTGTTCTGATATCGCCCAGGTGTCTGTTTTGTTGCACATGCATTTGCGTGTAAATTCAAATCTGTGAATAACAACAGCTGTGGACGAATGAATACAGAGTCTGTGTGTTTTTATCTACAGGTGTGGGCTTACCTACGAACACCTCAGGAATACGGTCGGAATACACCCCACCTGCGCCGAGGAGCTCATCAAGCTCAACATCACTAAACGCTCCGGTCTTGACGCCACAGTAACAGGCTGCTGAGGTTAAGCATCCCCTCCCTGATCGCTCGAGCACACGGGAACCCATAAAAAGGTTGTGATAATGTGAGTTAGCAGTTGCAGGAAGCATCTCATGAAATCTGTCTCTCAGTTTTTACTTTAAAAGCTCTTCTGAAACCGAGACTTTTAAACCACAGAACCAGATCTATTTCGTTTAATATATGATATTTAAAATAATAATTCTGGAGGTCAGTACTAACAAGTATGTCCTTCTTTGCCACTGTGATGTATTGTTTTTAAACCAAGTCCAGGAGAGTTCGGCCAGCTTTTTACCACAGGTCAAGATAATCCAATAAAGTCCTCGTGTTTGCTCTCCAGAATAAGAACGCAGATCCAGGTTAGAGCAACACAAACCGCAAGCGCCTCTGCGAACAGATAAACACGACCATAAATCAGAATTAAGGCCCCATTACAGTTTGCTGAAATGAGAAACGTTGGAGAAAGTGGCCTAATGTTTCTGAAATATATTCTGCAAATATTGTTGTTTCTCTGGCTGTACTTCCTGTCCATTAGTCATGCGCCGCTCCTGACACTGATGGATGGGATAGGCCCGTCGCTGCGCTGACACCACCCCATTTCCCAGGGACGTAGACAAACACTCGGTGAGCGGCGTGTCACTCAAACGCAGAACCCGGTCGTGGACAGAGTGAGCGCTTGTTTAGTCCTGGACTTCAGGAGGTTCCCCAGTGCACAGGGGGAGCAGAGAGTACACAGTACAATAACATACTCTCCTGCCCTTGATCTCTCTGGGTAAAAACCTGAAAGTCCAAAGGAGGCATCAGTACCGCTGGCTACCTAAAGGTGGCAGTGTTAGCTTCCTTTTCCTCCTGTTCTTCACTCGCACATGTGAGGATAAAAATCTCTGAGCTGTGTAGTCATTATGAATTCGAGCCACAGTTAATCACTGGCAGAATGTTAAGATTAATCGAACACTTACTGGGCATTTATCGCTCCATAGGTTTAGCTTATCTGTTGTTTGTGTACTTGGCTAATAGCTTTGGCCCACGGTGCTGGCGCCCGCTTTGAGGGAAGGTAAACTGCAACTATTCCCAAAAGTTCAATTCATTTTGTGACAGGAAATCTGTGACATCTGTGTACTTTCAAACCAGATAACGTATGAAAAGCATATGTGAATTTTGAAATACATTGATATGTAAAGTCAGTAGATGCAAGTGCAATTATAATGAAACATTTTTCAGAGCTCTCAAAGGGGTAGTTCAACCAATAATGAAGATTATTTTATTTACTCATTCTTATGTCAGTCCAATCCTGTATATCTTTGTTTATTCATCAGAAAACTGATGAAGGCATTTTGAATTGTAATGGTTGCTCTTTTGTCCATTTAATTAGAATAGAGACTGCTTAAAAAGCATGCCGAAGCATCATACAATTGAATGAAATTTGCAATGAAATTTAGTTGTTTTTGACTGCAAATATTCCATCTTAGCTCTCTTTGCTGCGTTCATGAGAAGAGAAAAGTTGCGGTGCCCAGTTCTTAAACGAATCATTGAGTCTTATTGAGTCAATAATTCAGTTAATCCGCAAAACAAGTCCGCATGTTTCTTTCACAAATTGGACTGATCTGTTTTTTTTTTTTTAATTCAAAATCAATAACCAATAAGTGAATAACAGCTTAAAGTTCTCTGTCCCTCACACAAAGCAATCATATGACTTCAAAAGACTTGGAATACAGCGCATGAGTCGTATGAGCTACATTTATGATTCTGTAATGATTATTTTATGTCCTATTTTTACAGCTTGAATGTTTCAGTCCAGTTCACTGTAGCATGGAAAAGAGCAACCAGAATAATTGTTTCATGCAAGCCTTTACACAGAAGAAATACAGGTTTAGAAGAACATGAGGGTGAGTAAATAATGGCAGAATTTTCATTTTTGGACAAAATATGGGTTTAATAATAAATTTGGACATTTAATGGTTTAATAATAAACATTGGACATTTGCGTTTGTAATTTCAGTGTCAATGAAACTTGCAATAAAACAACAGATATGCTAAACTTATTAAACACCTCAATCAGTACTAGTCACTGAATTTACTTAGGTTCTGTAGTTATACATGATATATGTGAAATGAATATGTGATCACATTTAGAAACACTGTTTTAATGGCCCATGTCACATACTTAAAGGGATAGTTCACCCAAAAAATGCAAATTCTGTCATCATGTACTCACCCCGATGTCATTCCAAACCTGTATGAGTTTCTTTTGTCTGCTGAACACAAAAGAAGATATTTTAAAGAATGTTAGTAACCAAACAGTTTTGATTTGGAGACATTTCTCAAAATATATTCTTTTATGTTCTGTGAAAGAAAGTCATTCATACAGGTTTGAAACAACATGAGGGTGAGTAAATGATGGCAGAATTTTCACTTTTGGATGAACTATCCCTTTAACTTTTACTAAGCTGTTTATCTGTAATTAATCAAATGCCTTTATGCGTATGGTTTCCCACAAATACTTGCGCAAAATTTAAATTGGAGAATGCCATAGACTTAGAAGTGAGTGTCTGTGGTGGAAGAACGGTCCTGTGTGTGTGTGTAAATACTGTAGGTGAGGTGGTGACATAAAATGGGAACTGACACAAAATCAAACCACCCTATCAACAACATACTGTAGCAACAAACTAATAACCACTCAGCAACCAAATAGCAACACCCTGGCAACTATCCTCAACAGCCCAGTATCATGGCGCTGACTTTTGCATGGACAAACACCAGTTGTAGTTTTGTCTAATATTTAAACACAGTTGAATTTATACATATTCATTTTTCGATGGTCTGAAGTTTGCAACTTAGTCACTACCTTGGGTCTCTCTTTGATTCTGATGTAGGTTTTACACTACTATTCAAAGACATTTTTTCATTTTTGAAAGAAACTGATGCTTCTGTTCACTAAAATAGAGTTGATCAAAGTACAGTAAAAATAGTAATACTGTAAAATATTGTTACTGTATGAAATAACTCCTTTTCGATAAAATTAGATTTTTACCTGTGATTTTTACTTGTGAATACCCATTTTCAGAAGCCATTACTCCAGTCTACAAAGAAAATCATTCTGATATGCTGTTTTAGTTCTTGAGAAACCTTTCTCGTTATTAACACACCTGAAAATGGCTGCATTGCATAATGAAGTCTGGAAATTGCAATACAGATGACTTTTTGCAGTTGCTTGTATCGATTACAGTCACAGATTTATATACAGAAAATATTTATAACATTTATGAATGGCGTTACTATCACTTTTAATGAATTCTATGCATCCAAGATGAGTAAAATAATAAAGTTCTTCTAAAAATATAATTGAATGGTAACTGAATCCATGTTCTCTCCATTTTCAGAAGCCATTACTCCAGTCTACAAAGAAAATCATTCTGATATGCTGTTTTAGTTCTTGAGAAACCTTTCTCGTTATTAACACACCTGAAAATGGCTGCATTGCATAATGAAGTCTGGAAATTGCAATACAGATGACTTTTTGCAGTTGCTTGTATCGATTACAGTCACAGATTTATATACAGAAAATATTTATAACATTTATGAATGGCGTTACTATCATTTTTAATGAATTCTATGCATCCAAGATGAGTAAAATAATAAAGTTCTTCTAAAAATATAATTGAATGGTAACTGAATCCATGTTCTCTCCCTCTCAGGTGGTTTGTCTACGGGAGGGTGATCAGCGTGTGCTGGGTATGCATTTTACCGGACCGAGCGCTGGTGAGGTCACACAGGGCTTTTCTCTGGGCTTCCAGTAAGTTCCGCATGTCTTCGTACCTGCTCATGCTGTTGAACTGGAATCAGATTACATTCATTTGTTCTGATATCGCCCAGGTGTCTGTTTTGTTGCACATGCATTTGCGTGTAAATTCAAATCTGTGAATAACAACAGCTGTGGACGAATGAATACAGAGTCTGTGTGTTTTTATCTACAGGTGTGGGCTTACCTACGAACACCTCAGGAATACGGTCGGAATACACCCCACCTGCGCCGAGGAGCTCATCAAGCTCAACATCACTAAACGCTCCGGTCTTGACGCCACAGTAACAGGCTGCTGAGGTTAAGCATCCCCTCCCTGATCGCTCGAGCACACGGGAACCCATAAAAAGGTTGTGATAATGTGAGTTAGCAGTTGCAGGAAGCATCTCATGAAATCTGTCTCTCAGTTTTTACTTTAAAAGCTCTTCTGAAACCGAGACTTTTAAACCACAGAACCAGATCTATTTCGTTTAATATATGATATTTAAAATAATAATTCTGGAGGTCAGTACTAACAAGTATGTCCTTCTTTGCCACTGTGATGTATTGTTTTTAAACCAAGTCCAGGAGAGTTCGGCCAGCTTTTTACCACAGGTCAAGATAATCCAATAAAGTCCTCGTGTTTGCTCTCCAGAATAAGAACGCAGATCCAGGTTAGAGCAACACAAACCGCAAGCGCCTCTGCGAACAGATAAACACGACCATAAATCAGAATTAAGGCCCCATTACAGTTTGCTGAAATGAGAAACGTTGGAGAAAGTGGCCTAATGTTTCTGAAATATATTCTGCAAATATTGTTGTTTCTCTGGCTGTACTTCCTGTCCATTAGTCATGCGCCGCTCCTGACACTGATGGATGGGATAGGCCCGTCGCTGCGCTGACACCACCCCATTTCCCAGGGACGTAGACAAACACTCGGTGAGCGGCGTGTCACTCAAACGCAGAACCCGGTCGTGGACAGAGTGAGCGCTTGTTTAGTCCTGGACTTCAGGAGGTTCCCCAGTGCACAGGGGGAGCAGAGAGTACACAGTACAATAACATACTCTCCTGCCCTTGATCTCTCTGGGTAAAAACCTGAAAGTCCAAAGGAGGCATCAGTACCGCTGGCTACCTAAAGGTGGCAGTGTTAGCTTCCTTTTCCTCCTGTTCTTCACTCGCACATGTGAGGATAAAAATCTCTGAGCTGTGTAGTCATTATGAATTCGAGCCACAGTTAATCACTGGCAGAATGTTAAGATTAATCGAACACTTACTGGGCATTTATCGCTCCATAGGTTTAGCTTATCTGTTGTTTGTGTACTTGGCTAATAGCTTTGGCCCACGGTGCTGGCGCCCGCTTTGAGGGAAGGTAAACTGCAACTATTCCCAAAAGTTCAATTCATTTTGTGACAGGAAATCTGTGACATCTGTGTACTTTCAAACCAGATAACGTATGAAAAGCATATGTGAATTTTGAAATACATTGATATGTAAAGTCAGTAGATGCAAGTGCAATTATAATGAAACATTTTTCAGAGCTCTCAAAGGGGTAGTTCAACCAATAATGAAGATTATTTTATTTACTCATTCTTATGTCAGTCCAATCCTGTATATCTTTGTTTATTCATCAGAAAACTGATGAAGGCATTTTGAATTGTAATGGTTGCTCTTTTGTCCATTTAATTAGAATAGAGACTGCTTAAAAAGCATGCCGAAGCATCATACAATTGAATGAAATTTGCAATGAAATTTAGTTGTTTTTGACTGCAAATATTCCATCTTAGCTCTCTTTGCTGCGTTCATGAGAAGAGAAAAGTTGCGGTGCCCAGTTCTTAAACGAATCATTGAGTCTTATTGAGTCAATAATTCAGTTAATCCGCAAAACAAGTCCGCATGTTTCTTTCACAAATTGGACTGATCTGTTTTTTTTTTTTTAATTCAAAATCAATAACCAATAAGTGAATAACAGCTTAAAGTTCTCTGTCCCTCACACAAAGCAATCATATGACTTCAAAAGACTTGGAATACAGCGCATGAGTCGTATGAGCTACATTTATGATTCTGTAATGATTATTTTATGTCCTATTTTTACAGCTTGAATGTTTCAGTCCAGTTCACTGTAGCATGGAAAAGAGCAACCAGAATAATTGTTTCATGCAAGCCTTTACACAGAAGAAATACAGGTTTAGAAGAACATGAGGGTGAGTAAATAATGGCAGAATTTTCATTTTTGGACAAAATATGGGTTTAATAATAAATTTGGACATTTAATGGTTTAATAATAAACATTGGACATTTGCGTTTGTAATTTCAGTGTCAATGAAACTTGCAATAAAACAACAGATATGCTAAACTTATTAAACACCTCAATCAGTACTAGTCACTGAATTTACTTAGGTTCTGTAGTTATACATGATGTATGTGAAATGAATATGTGATCACATTTAGAAACACTGTTTTAATGGCCCATGTCACATACTTAAAGGGATAGTTCACCCAAAAAATGCAAATTCTGTCATCATGTACTCACCCCGATGTCATTCCAAACCTGTATGAGTTTCTTTTGTCTGCTGAACACAAAAGAAGATATTTTAAAGAATGTTAGTAACCAAACAGTTTTGATTTGGAGACATTTCTCAAAATATATTCTTTTATGTTCTGTGAAAGAAAGTCATTCATACAGGTTTGAAACAACATGAGGGTGAGTAAATGATGGCAGAATTTTCACTTTTGGATGAACTATCCCTTTAACTTTTACTAAGCTGTTTATCTGTAATTAATCAAATGCCTTTATGCGTATGGTTTCCCACAAATACTTGCGCAAAATTTAAATTGGAGAATGCCATAGACTTAGAAGTGAGTGTCTGTGGTGGAAGAACGGTCCTGCTGGAGTTTGTTTTTGTTTGAAGTCTAATCTGCCCCGGCTCTGATTAATGAGCCTGAGAGTGGAGTGACAGCCTGCCGTGGAGAGGAGCACTGCGCTACCAGGTTTATTTGTACCCAGGGCTGATGGGAAGAGGGGGGGTACCGTGTGCTCAACTCAGGGACGGGGTGCTGACTGAAGAACCCTGACCCCAACACTACCACCAACAGCTTGGCTCTATCAACCCACACATACACAACACACACACACACACACACAGCTGGTGGGCGGAGCTGCACCACAACACAGAAATATGCGGGCGTATGTTTTTCTAAAGTGTACAGATATTCACAGATATTCATGTTATGGCCAGCATAATTATGTTACCAGTATGATCAGTATAATGACATTTTTTTAATGTTAAATTTAAATGTTGCATCTAAAATTGACACCACACACACACACACAGCTGGTGGGCGGAGCTGCACCACAACACAGAAATATGCGGGCGTATGTTTTTCTAAAGTGTACAGATATTCATGTTATGGCCAGCATAATTGTTATGTTACCAGTATGATCAGTATAATGACATTTTTTTTAATGTTAAATTTAAATGTTGCATCTAAAATTGACATAAAAGCAGTTATCAGCATTGGTCGTCTCACTGATCAAATGTGCTTTAGACACATTACCCGCAGGTCAGCTTGCGACAGCAGCTCCGATCCCCACATTCGCACACAGTGAGGGGTCAGGGTTCAACTTTAAAGGGCCCAGCTAATGATGACTTGCACTAAAAGCCAAAACTGGAGAGGGCGAGTCGGATGATACTTGGCGTCATATTTATTTCTGTAAAAAGAGAAGCCTGATTTGGCATTAAGCCAAGCACTTGATGATTTAGTAAGTTAGATATACAAATTGCACCATTAAAATAATGATGGATTAAATACTGTCTTCTGTTTCTTTCATATGGTGTGAATTTAACTTGTTCCAAATCTTAGTGAGCTGCCTCACAGACTGCTATCTCCATAGGCAGAAACCTTTTTAGGGGCCTTTCACACAGAACGCATTCTGGCATTTCATCTACAGTTTTTTTATTTTAAATGATGGTGCATGTACCACTTACATTGCACATGTTTCAGCCATTGTGTCATGTCTTTTTCTTTTTCCCTTTTTTTTTGCGTCTTTTTTTGTGCTATAAATGTTGCATTTTTAAGGGATGTCAAGTTAAAAGTAAAAACAAACAAAAAAACAGGAATTTCCATTCGGTTGTACTCCTTGCTGTTTTTCAACATGTTCTGTGTGGCTATTAATGCAAAATGATACACAGGGCAGTCGAATGACTAAAGGAATGCCAGGTTTTTAAAAAGTTTAACTTTTAGCTTGAGCGCCACGTTTTTACATTGCAAAACACTGCAAAAGATGCAAGACATGAGCGCAACAGTCAAACACGTCCATCTAGGGCATGTTTACATAGAAAAACATTGGAAAAACAAAAGTGCAGTGGAATGCAGAAACAGCCCCAAAGGTGGCATCCTAACTGTCATGGATTCTTATAAGTGACTGATTTGGAGCACTCTATATAGGCAGCAACTTCAAGTGCAAACTAAATTATGAGAGCAAAACCTCCTCACGTGAAGGGCATTGAAGACTGAAGTTACGATTAATTTCAATATAATATGACCTTGACATATTATCAACACAATAAGACAAACATAAAAATGCATAACACACGAATATTAGATACAAAAAAAATGTCAGTTTTGAAATGAATTCAAATGTTTTTATGACTATTTTCATCAATGAATAAAATGTTTATTTATTTTTAGCATTTTTCTCGGCTTGACTTTCGGCTCCATATGGAACTTGTTGCAATGCATTCTGGGATTGCATCTAATTTGGTCAAAATGAGATCTTAGCGTAATGTTGCAAACTAACTTTGTGAGTGTAGGTCACCTATGCTGCCTTAAAATGCTATTAAGTTAGGAAGCTAACTAGGTTTTGGTACAGAGCTAATACACTACTTTTCAAAGGTTTGGTGTCAGTATGTATTTTTTTTTTTTTAAAGAAATTAATACTTTTATTCAGCAAAGATGCATTGAATTATTCCAAAGTGACAGTAAAACATTAATAATGTTCCAACAGATTTATATCTCAATAAATGCTGTTCTTCTGAACTTTCTATTGAACAAAGAATCATATGAAAAAAAAAATTCACAAAAATATTAAGCAGCATAACTGTTTTCAACATTGATGAAGCAAATGATTTCTGAATATAGCAGAATGATTTATGAAAGATCATGTGACACTGAAGACTGGAGTAACCATGCTGAAAATTCAGCTTTGCATCATTATCATCAATAAATTACATTATCAAATATATTCAAATAGAAGACAGTTATTTAAAACTAATAATATTTCACAATATTACCGTTTTTCAGTATTTTAATCAAATAAATGTAGCCTTGTTGAGAATAAGAGACTTCTTTCAAAAAATCTTGCTGACCCCAAACTTTTAAACAGTTGTGTGCGTGTGTGTGTGTGCGTGTGTGTGTGTGTGTGTGTGTGTGTGTGCGTGCGTGCATGCGCGTGCGTGTGTGTGTGTGTGTTCCTCTGAGCAGCTTTCTCTCAGCAGGGGTGGTCACGGTATGACCTCTCGCTGTCTTTGCTGACAGGCTCCTCAGCGATGCCGACCTGTCAGTCAAAGCTGCACAACAACAATGGCAGAAATTCCTCTCTGTTTGTTTGCATAAGGACGGGACTCTCACAAACCCTGAAACTCTTAACGTTGTCACCCCTAAAACTCCGAGCTCTCTTTGCAGCCATTAAGGCGAAAGTCATCCTCGTCGTCCCCTGAGAGAAAAGACCAGAGCCCCCTTTTTAACCAGCGACATGCTTTCAGCATTTCTTTCTCTTTCGAAATAGAACAAATGTACGTAAATCCACCTTGAAACACACTTAGCAGAACATGTCAACATGTCAGGGTATGTTGGGTGGATATTTAACGTCTTAATCCGCTGCTATTGTGGGTTGACAGTCAGAATCAGCGTGTATGAGCTCGGAGTCTATTGTGGATGCGAGTCAGACGGCCCTCATCACCCTTCTACGGGGGGTTTACGCTCATGCTGGTTACACAGCCCTGCGTTTGTGGCCAAAGCCCTGGGAGGAGAAACAAATATCTGCCTTGTGTAAACATATGCGAAAAGTTTGGCATAGAAAAGGGGGATTATGGGTAAAATGAATAGGGGCCAATTAAAGTCCACTTTTTCTTGTGTGTTTCGGCTTGAGACACCTTTGGGGTGAGGGGGGAGTAATGGATATAAATAGCTTCAAAACTGTGTACTATCATACTATTCTATTTGTTTATTCAGTACTGCATAATATACTTCATGAACACTACCATTCAAAAGTTTAGGGTCTGTAAGATTTTTTTATTTTTTTTTTGAAAAAAGTCTTATGACCAAGTCTTTATTTATTTGATCAAAATGAAAGTAAAATGTGAACTATTATACTGTTTATAATAACTGTTTTTTATTTTAATATATTTTTAAAAGTAATTTATTTCTGTGAGCCATTACTCCATTCTTTAGTGTCACATGATCCTTTAGAAATCATTCTAATATAATGATTTGGTGCTATGATGTATTATTTTTTATATTTCCTATTTTTGTTGAAAAGACCAATACATAATTAAATACATACTGATAAAAAAATTTAAATACATATTAATAAAAAATTATGAATAAAACTAAAATCTGACCTCGAACATTTAAATGGTAGTATATTGTCTGAAGTTGGCTATTTTAGTTTATTTTAAAACGTTTTTTTAATTATTTTATTTAATGTTAAATTATATTTAAATGTATTTATTTTATTTTCAATATGCACCAGAGAATACTGTGCTGAATAAGGTATTTGGCAATGTAATGATTTTATTGGAGTAGATAATATTTTTATATAAAATTTAAAATAATACAAAACATAGAAAAACATTTAAATAAAAATTTTAAATAACTTTTTTATTTTCAACATGAGAAATTATTAAAGCCAAATATTAGAAATGGCAAGTAACACTGAATTAATGTGAAATTATTTTCTTGTATTTTCTTGTAAATGTGCTCCAATATTTTTTTATATATTTATATTTTTTTATAATATTTTTAAATTTATTTTATATGTATTTTAAAAATCAAATCATTTTACGGTGTGTGTGGTACACTGCTATAGCATTGTAAACAGTCCCACACACAGTCAAACATGAAGAGTTGAGGGTTCTTGTACTTGACTCTTGATGATGTAAGGTGCTTCAGGGTGAGGTTCGAGGGAAGACTCTCCTCTCTCATTACAGGCCAGATGTGTGCCACAGATTTATGTTTGCTGCATGTCCACAGTTTGA